TGCTCCAAACTCTTGATTTCTCTTCAGGCGTCTTCTCAATAACCTATACTTAATTGAATCAACTACACAGGAAAAGTATCAACTGCGGTTCAAAGTTTTGGAACAAAAGATTAAGCATCCAATGGTAATTCTAAAATCATTGCATCAGATGTAAGAAACATTGCCAGTGGACCATCAAGGCGTCAGTCTTTTGGAGGAGCTGAGAGCCTCTCTGGATCCTCCTCCAATGGATATCTATCAAGGAAAAGCTCAAGTTCGAAATCAGGGTCAATGCGATCAAATAGTGCTAGTGTGTTATTAAAACATGCCAAACTGTCATCTAGATCATTTGATGGTGGTAGATCCCTTGAGAGAGAGAGACCAACTTCAAATGGGAGTGGGCAAGATAACATGCCAGCCAATGCCAGTAATCAAACCACCAGTACTGAGAATGTCACTGCACGTGAGGGAAGTGCAAATGACGCGCCGGTTGAAAAATCTAAAGCAGAACATGAAGATTATGTCTCAGGAATGCTGTATGACATGTTACAGAAAGAGGTTATATCTCTGAGGAAGTCTTGTCATGAAAAAGATCAGACCCTTAAAGACAAGGATGATGCAATTGAGGTCTGGTATTTGATTTCTGGTTAACGGTCAATATTTTACATTAAACTCTCTCTAGCTCTTTTATTTAATTAATGGCTTTCTTTTGCAAATGGGTAGATGCTGGCAAAGAAGGTTGATACATTGAACAAGGCTATGGAAGTTGAGGCCAAAAAAATGCGGAGGGAAGTAGCTGCCATGGAAAAGGAAGTTGCTGCTATGCGGGGTAGTAAGGATAATGATCATAGAGCGAGGCGAGCTAGTGCACCAAGGGGTGCTGTAAATAGTTCTCATTTAGTTTCATCCAGGTCAATTTCCTGTTCCTTGCTCCTTTCATCATGATAATAATTTTACTTAAAATTTGAATAAACCTGAAGTTCAGAATCTCATTTGACCCTCTTGTGTCTGCATTAGGGGCTACTGTAGAACTTGCCTATTTTCGTGATCAATATGGTCAACTGTCAAAATCTATAAATTCTGTGTTTTAAACATTAAATCATGAGTTTGTGTGGGATGCTGTTTTGTCGTTGTCAAAGCTGGTCCTTGCCTCTTTCTTTGCACCTTCTCGACATCCACTTCTACATAATATATGTTACTAGCTTTTGCTTCTTTTTTTTTTTTCCCTCCTCTTTTGGTTAAAAGTGTTGCTGGTTAAACATCTGACTCATCGACATTACTTTTTATGACATTTTTCAGGAGTGGACGCAATTTTTAGGTGAATTTTATTGCCTGTGATCCTCTGGCAAGGATGGACAGACTAAAGTTATCTTCTGAATTATTTTTCCCCTTTGCACGAATAGAATTGTATGATTTTTTTATTATAAGCCCCTCCTCCCCCCCCCCCTTCCTCACTCAGTCTATTTAAGCTGTCTTGGCCAGGGGGTTGTGTGTAAAGGGACCTTGTGTTTTCCCAGAAACCTTGTCTTGTACATTTCCTTTGTATACTATGTCCAGGAAGAAAATTTGAAATTAATGATTCCGTGAGATTTGTGGCAGTTACATGAGTATAGCATCCATCAAACTATGTTTCATTAGCATACATTTGTAAATCAGCCGGTGAGCTGCAACCATTTTTTCCCCTTCTTTACCATCAATAGACAACGGCTTGAGCTTGGAAAATCTTGCAACATTGGGATGCTAATAACACTCTTGTGCCTGAAAATCTTTGGAAGCTGATAAGCTTGGCATGGAGATTTAATCAGCTTGTTAATTTAAAAAGGTGAATTTGCAAGTAACACATGAAGCACCTATTTGGATTAGTTAAAGGAAATTAAATAAGTAATGGGAATAGAAATGATTAGATTTTGAAAATATATTGGGTATAGTAGAATAAAAGTATACAGAATTATCATATGATTTCTATTTAATATGTAATTTTATAAGGTGAAAAAACTAAAAAAAAAAGGGGGAGAAAGCAAATGTCATATTCTATTGAAATAATAAGCTCCATTTAGTTTAATCACATTACAGGTATTAACAAGAAAGATGTTTGGTTCTTCTTTCATTTGGTGGTTTATTATGATAATGATGATTATAAAAAAATTTAATATATAGTGAAATTTGGTATTAGAGCAGTGACAATCCGAAAAAGTTGAAAATAAGAATTTTAATATGCAGTGAAATCTTGGTATCAAAATAGTGACGTTTTGGTATCAGAGTACTAACAATCTTGCAACAGCGAAAAGGAGCTGAAGTTGAAAACCTAACCCAATTAGTTTGGTAGCTTCAAGAGTTTGTTAGTGCTTTTAACCTTTAAATTTTTTTGGCTTAAATGGTCAAACAAATCTACATCTGTGATTTTTTATGTTAACAGTTAAATTTTTGTGACATATAATATTTTTTCCTCTTACCAATAGGTGACATCTAATATTAATGGCTAATATTGCAGCTTATATAATTGATTGTTTTCTTTTAAACTAACATCAACGAATGTATAATGGTATAACTAAATGTATGATTAATAGCAATTTTATTGTTATACAGTTAATATCTAACTGTAAATCTTTGATGAAATTTGCATCTAATATCAATAAATTTATAATAGCAATTTTAGTTGTAAATTTATTTAACTATTTAGGTTAAAATTTATCGTTAATATCAACAATTTATAATGTTAAAATTTAAACTAAAAGTTACAACCGATATATTGACAAATTTATAATGATAAAATTTAAGTTTAAATTTACATATAATATCAACAAATTGATAATAGTAAAATTGTTGTGAGTGATTGTGCATCCTTCATATTCTATGCTCCAATTTTTGTTGGTTCATGACATTTATTCTTTTGTTATTTTTTATCAGGTGGTATTCTCTCTTGTCACCCTTTCGCTCTCATAGTCCTCTTTTTTGTTTGTATTCAATATGTTCTTCATATTTAGATATTCTCTCTTTTTGTGTTTTGTCTTCCGCCCTTCACTTGGCTTTTTTCTTATTTGAGAGTTAAAAGTTGGGTATTAATAATAAATCATAATACTTAGGGCAAATCAGGAGATGTGTGCGTGATGGAAGATCTTATTCTTGGGTGCTATCTAATGTTGATTCAAGGCTAAGATTATCTGTTACAGGAGGAGGGACAACATTCAAGTAAGGTTTAAACTAATTAATCATATTCAAACAAAAGAGCTATTTTGACTTGGGAGTAATTCTTATGATTTTTTTTGCGTATTATCATGTGGCCCTTGATAAATGGCTAATGGGATACCAAATTTCACGTGCTTTTTTTATTGTTATCTTTCTCAATAAAATATTGTATCATGAAGTATTAAAATGGAAAAGAAAATATTTCAAAATGTAGGATGAAACTTAACCTTTAAAAAAACTTAAATAAATACTAACTAAATAAAAATAAACAAATATACAATAGCTATTTTTTTACCAAAGAAAATATATTTTCATTAATATGGGAACAAAGAAACAAGGGAAAACAGGCGTAGCAAGGGGTATAACAAAAAGGCCAGCAAACTAAAAGCTCATAAACAGCACAAACTCTAACCCTACTAGTAAAATAAACCCAAAGGAATAGCCATTGTCAAGTTTACCAGGGAGCCCTACTGTTCTGTCACCGGAATGTGCAGGGAGGAAAATACTGTCATCACCATTGATGCCAAAATAAAGGGTGGTGGTTTGAAAAACCATCTCAAAGGACCCATCCTTCTTGTAGGCCAAAGAACAACCAAAGATGGTTGAGAAGAAAACATGGGAAACTCATAGAAGCTAGAACACCCATAGCTACCAGCAACAATAAACGACGCCAAGGGAGGAAGAGAACTTTCTTTTGGTAACCCATTGAGCAGCACCGCTTGATGAAACTCATACCCTTCATCAACATCTTGGATTTGCCATCGCTGAATGACACCAACGACTGTCATAGAGTATTTGGAGCTAAAGCAAGGATGATCATTAACTGAAACCTTCCCCTAAAATGCAAATCCATGCCATCAAGCCTAGGTCAGAACTATTACCTTTCATCCTAACATCAGAAAAGGAGGTGCTGCAAACAAAATCCACAGATTTGATAAGAGTCGAAGAAACAAAAAAGAAAAAAAACACCACTAAAACCCCATAAACACATAATGACAAACAAGAGATGGACATCTTCTTTGATGGAGAATGCTAAAGAAGGAAGCGTTATAAAAGCTGCTCGTCCAAATACGAGAACAAGGAAGCTCTCACCACTCAAAAGGTCTCTAGAGAAGGAGAGAGAGAAGCTCACTACCAAAAGCATTGATTTAATCAGGCTTCGTATACCGCAATTGTTAAAATGATACTCTCTCCATTTCTTATTATAAGAGACAAATAACCGAAGTACATTAATAAAAAAAACAGTTAAAATTAATTAAGAACAATTAATGTGTAAAAAGTATAATTTTTTTTCTAAAAATACCCTCATTAATAATGAGAGAGCATGAGAGAGAACAATTAAATTATTAAAAGAAAGAGAATTGAGAGGGAGAGAGAGTGTAAGTTGGAGATAATAAATATGGGTAAAATAGTAAATCAACACAAAAAAGTAGAGACAACTTGTAAGTGTCTCTTATATATAAGAATATGCCATAAGCATCAAATGTCACTTATAATAAAAAACAGAGGGAGTAATAAAAACACATTAAATGCAACAAAAAAATTTAAAACCAACAAGCCATTGGTTAATATAGTAAGTGGTCTCACTTTTTATAAAGAAAACAAAATAAATTCTAATCTTGGAAAACACACTCGTGTAAAAGGATTTTGACTTTAATATTTCTGGTTTAACAGAAATTAATCTCAAATCTAAAATAATTTGAAAAGAAGATGACTTGTACCAAAAAAAATTTTTTTAAATGGGCAACGGCTAAAAAAGCCGTGCCTGAAATTCCGCTTATAAATTCCTCTTTTCTTAATCCCGATTTTAAACGAGGGGTGTACCTGGCGGAGGGAAGAAGAAAAGATATGGGCGGCTCGTGATGTTACTTATGTTTTTTGACGCTTTGGGGGAAAGTCACCAGGCCGCATGTAAAAATTTTCCGGCCTTGCCACAAAATACTTCATGGTGATGGCGCCTCTTCTCAAACTCTCCTCTGCGTATCTTCCTATTCGCTTCATGGCCTCTCGCTTCTTCCACACCTCTTCCTTCTTTTCTCATTCTTCTTCCTCCTCTTCACTCTCTTCGTCCTTTTCCTTTTCTCGGACTTCCCTTTTCTTCATACCCAGGTACCCTCTCTAGCTGCGCTTTATCTTTCCCGTTTTCGTTTCTGTTCCCTTGTCGAGAAACAACTAAAATAGCTAAGTTACCTTGCTAAACTAGGATAAGGCCTGCGCAGTATATCCCCCCAAACTTGATAGCTTTGGTATTTCAATGCGGGCATGCATACTTTTGTTGGGTGCTTTCCTCTCATTTTCTTAAAAGTTTTTTCCGGAAGCATCCGAATGAAACCTAATAGTTGTTTTTGGTTGAGTTGGATAATAAAATTTGATTACTCGTATTTTTCTCAACTGTTTGCAATAATTTTTAAAACAACAATAGTACACTTTTAACTGCTCTTACGGAGATGCTGGGAGATGCACAAACGGGTGCTTTCCAGTATGAGCCTGATGACGGTTTGTGTTGCTTTCCTCAGGGCGTCTTTTCAGCTGAGTAAAATTTCAAGCCATCATGTGGTCCCAAAAACAGTCACTCCAAGGGCATATATATCATCTAGCTCAGCAACCGAGGCTCTTCCAAAAAGTGAAAGCCCCAAAGCTTATGGTTCTGATCAAATTCAGGTGTTTAGTGGGTTGTATTAGTATATGAAATTTTAAATTAACCGCAGAATGCGGATAGATGTTGGTAAATTTTTTGGTGCTCACCCATGTCATCACTTCAATGTGCTTGTCACATTATATCATTATTCTTGTAATGCTTTGCCCAACACAATGGGCTAATCGCTGTGTGATACATCTAGGTACTTGAAGGACTGGACCCTGTTAGAAAAAGGCCAGGAATGTATATTGGAAGCACAGGTCCACGCGGACTGCACCATTTGGCATGTTCTTCTCACTCTCATCACAGTTATCTAATATAAAAGTTGAAATATATCTGATCAAAGGTGATATATGTTCTTACCTTAGGTCTATGAAATTTTGGATAATGCTGTTGATGAAGCTCAAGCTGGTTTTGCTTCAAAGATAGATGTTATTTTGCTTGCTGATGATTCTGTGAGCATCACTGACAATGGGCGAGGGGTATGACTTGTCATCTACCATTGAATCTCTGATTGTTTCTATTTTACCATGGACTAGATGTGTTTTATTTTACTTTTGCTTTGGTTGCGCTTCCTTGTTCATTTTCCATGTAGCTATGACGTTATTTGACATTAACTTGAAGTTTAGCATTATTCACACTAATACTCTGACAAAATGTCATGGTTATGCTTGTCATCTATAGAATAGCGGCACTATTGTAGTATTAACTATTTATTACGCATCTTCTTGCTTGAGCTATTTTTAAAAATTGAAATGCAATACCTGACCACTCTTTAATATTGATATCAATTCTGGAAAACTCATCTCATCTCATTCTAAATTTGAAATTCATATTGTAAATTAGAATATATTCTGTTTGGTATTTTTCATATGAAAATGCCAAATCAAATAAACTTGCTTTTACATATAATTTTCGCATGTGGTTGTGAGAGCCATATCAACTGCATGCTGAATTCCAACTAAGCATCATTTTTACTCGTGAATTGCAGATTCCTACTGACACACATCCAGTTACTAAAAAGTCTGCCCTGGAGACGGTGTTGACGGTACTGTACTGTTGCATGTGCTTTAGACTTAATATATCTTGGAATTTGTTTTTGTTATTTTGTTTCTGAAAGGTTTATGATTGTTTCTCTGGACACCATTATTTTAAATTCCAAATTTCCTGTTTTGTTTATTCCGTTACTCCACAAAAGGGCTATGTTTGGCTTAAAATGTGGGGAATGCCTTGGTCTTCTTGAAGAAGTAATTGAGAAAGAGAGTTGTTTCCCCTCTTTGATCATTGTTCCTATTATTCACTAGCACTCTATATTCTCATGATTTATCAGTTTTAACTGATTATTATTAGCCTTAGCTCTGAACTTCCCAGACCAAGTTTGGTCAATTAAATCTTTTGACCTTATAAAAACTGAATTCAGTGGAGCTGTCAATTCTTGAACTTGATATCTGATATCTTCTCTCATCTAACACATTGAGTGGATCTTTGTTGTTTTTAGTTTTCACTGCCTTTAGACTTCTTTATGCTCAAGAACATCATCTGATCAGCAAGTCTGTAATAACCTGAATATTCTTCACGTGTGATGTTTTGCATATCCATTGATGATGTTTGAGGAATTGAATCGACTCATCAACATCAAATCTTGTAGTGTGAAAGGTGCATGTTTTGTGGTTTAAAGTTCCTGATAGACAAAATATGCCTTAGATACTGGATTGAAGAAGCCTGAATTTTGGGCTTTGATCTGTTACGCTGTTATTACCATTTAGCATGCCTTTAATGGGCTCATTTAAGGCATCTTGATCACTTTTCAGTTTTATTTTCGGGAAAAGGTCATTTGTCTTCTGGGACATGCAGGTGCTGCATGCAGGTGGTAAATTTGGGGGTACAAACAGTGGCTACTCTGTTTCCGGTGGTTTGCATGGTGTTGGTTTATCTGTTGTTAACGCCTTGTCTGAGGTAAGAACTGTGTTCTCTTGGATTAATCTAACCCCCCCCCCCCCAAAAAAAAAAAAAAAAAGAAGACAAAGTCTACGATTGTGGAACCTTATTTGGTTCTTTTCTCCCCTTCCATTCACGAGATCTTTTTTTGCCCTAATATTTTAGGCGATTCTTCTGAATTACTGTGATGATGAATATTAGACAACTAACAGTGCCATGAGAACAATTTTCTGCCCAGCATTTGAGATTGCTAATGTGGGTTAGTTATCTAAAAGTCTAAGCTTGATATTTAACTTCAGACACTTGAGGTAACAGTTTGGCGTGGCGGATTGGAATACAAGCAAAAATATTCTCGTGGGAAGCCAACAACGCCTCTGACTTTTGATGTGCTTCCTGCTGATCAAAAAGATCGTCAAGGGACATGCATCAGATTTTGGCCTGACAAAGAAGGTCTATATGATCATGCATGGTTATTTGTATGTTTAAGTTGAGAGCTATTTGTTCTTTATTGCCAAGGACTTTCATTTGATTCATTATGATCTCTGCTGAATGTGCAGTATTCACCACTGCTATTCAGTTTGACTACCACACAATTGCTGGGCGCATTAGGGAGCTAGCTTTCCTCAACCCGAAGGTAAAGTTGTTGATTTGATTCACCGTGTTGCATCGTCTGTCTAATCTCTAGCACTCACTAACTATGTTGGAATTGGTCTGTCTTTGGATAACTCGATATAAGAATTTAGTCATGCTTCATGAGATATGATGGTTAGTGACTGAATTTCTGCCAACATCCAGTTTAGCTTGTTTAATAGAAGCAGTGGATTTTTTCCTAGTTGACAGTCTGGGCTTCTTGTTGAACATTAGCTTGTTTAATAGATAAGGCCAACTTACTTAACTGGGCTCAACAGATATTGTTAACACTTCGCATCCTTTTGTTTTATATGTGTGTACGTGTACATCAGTGGAAACATTTTTTTTTTTTTTTTAAATCCGCTTAACATCTTACTTTATGCTCTTTACTTTTTCCAGCTTACTATAACTCTTCGGAAAGAAGATAATGATCCAGAGAAGACACAGTATAATGAGTATTTTTACGCTGGAGGATTGGTTGAATATGTGAAATGGCTTAATACTGATAAGGTCTTTTTGCATTTATGTTGAAGTTTTATATTGAAAAATGTTTTTTCTTTTTAAGATTGTTAAGGTATGAAAGTGCTTGTTGAGTATATATTTGCATGTGCCATTTATTTTCTTGCTAAGAGATTGCTGGCTAATTTCTTTGTCATCCAGAGAGCTCTCCATGACGTATTGAGTTTTAGAAAAGAAGCGGATGGAATCTCAATGGATGTTGCTCTTCAATGGTATGGCCTTTTGTGCTGTTCACTTCTGCATTTCTTGAATTTCTGTTAACTGGTTTTTCCTCCTCCAAGTGCGTCAGGAGTCTCTCCACTATACGTGGAGCTTGCACTACTAGTAAGCATTGACTAGTTTTCATTTGCTATATATGGCAGTTTAAAAACTAATAATAAGCAAGGATAACTAAAGAAATTTTTGTATCTTACTGCACTTTGTATGTCAAAATCTGCCTCCAAATGGGGCACAGTCCCTTTGGTTTTAACTATAGGGGAAGTTAACAACACAATTCTTAGGTAGTAGTTGATTTTTTTTTTTTTTTTTTAGAAAAAGTGACTTTTCAATTTTGCCCTTTATTGAAATTAACGTCCACAATAAAGTGCCCAGTTGTCAACTCAAAAAAAAAAAAAAAAGCCCAATTGAAACGAATCATTATTAATAAGAAACCCAAATCCCTTGAAACATAAGAGATCGACAATAAATGGAGGGGTAGGATTGGGAAAAAATTATGAACACTAGACCTTTGCCTTATATTTTTGGACCAAGTAGGGAGTAAGCACGTTGCCTTATAATTAAGGCTCAATGGAGCACAGATGTCCGATGGTTTAATATTCTGCCAGTGTTTGATTATTATTCCTGATTCCTTTTGAGTATGTTTGGTTCAGTTTATTTCTTCTTTTCCTAGGTGTGAAGATGCATATTCAGATACAATACTTGGATACGCTAATAGTATACGCACTGTTGATGGAGGCACCCACATTGATGGTATGAAGGCTTCATTGACAAGAACACTTAATAATCTTGCGAAGAAGTCAAAACTTATTAAGGTATACCTGACATTATTTTCCCTCTTCTTCTTATGGTGCCAGTCTATTCTCCTAAATATACAAGAATATTTTGCATAAGAGCCAATAACTTTGTCTCATAAGTTATACTCGTGCTTTATACATGTTAATTGAATGGTGCCAATATATTTCCTGGTTTCAGTGAGCCACTTTATGACTACTATTACTAGCCATTTATTTATATGATGGGATTCCCTGCTAAGAATCGCCCAGGGGCTGATATTCTATTGGACAAGGGATTTCCCTCTTACGGAAAAGGGTAAAGCACTTGAAAATCACACCGGCACTCTTCAGATTACAATACACAAGATTGTCACATATTACAGGAACACCAAATGCATCATTGCACACACTAAAAGCGCATGGACTATAAATTGAGTACAAACTGCAGGTGAAACTCATATAATGAATTAGAGAAGAATAAATAAGAGTACTATGATGCCTGTGACATGTCTCTTGAGTTGCTACAGGCCAACTGACCATCTTCGCACAACGTGCGTGGGCACACAAACACCAGCACATCAAAGAGACAATTGGTGGCACTGAAGCTAGATGCTTGTACTCTCACCGGTACCTCCTCCAATAAGTTCTTCTCCCTTTATCCTGGGCTGGTCATCTTACTCAGACTCTTCCAATAACCTGCAACCACTCCTTCCTACTCTTTCAGCATGGATTCCTCCTGTCTCCCCCATCCACTGACCCTTTTAGCATAAACCATGGTACAGTTAGTTGGTCAACCGGTAGCAATCATAACAGCTCTCTTTACCACGCCATCAATCTTGTTTCTACTTTTTGTTCATTTATTATAGGTTTTTATGGTGGGAGGGTCCTGATTAGGTTGCGCAATGCCATCATTATATTTTTCTTCTATGAGGAAAGGACAACTAACGCTGCTGCACAAATGAAATTGAAATTTCATTTTTATGAAGTAGTGTCTGTTTATTGCAGGATAAGGACATTGCTTTAAGTGGTGAGCATGTGAGAGAGGGTCTAACATGCATTGTCTCAGTGAAGGTCCAAAATCCAGAGTTTGAAGGACAAACAAAGGTACTGCTTATTTTACATTACTACAAATAAATGAGTGCTGATATTCTTGGAGTATTAAGCAATACTAGATATATTGGAGTTTCCATGGCATATTTCTCTCCCTGCTTTTGATATCGTTCTGTGGTTCCTTCTTGCTCTCTTTGCTGTTGAAAAGACAAGGTTGGGAAATCCAGAGGTGCGAAAAGTGGTTGATCAATCTATTCAAGAGTACATTACTGAATATTTGGAGTTGCATCCAGATGTTCTTGATTTGATACTTTCTAAAGCTCTAAATGCTTTTAAGGTAGACATCTCTAAATAACACTTTTCAAAATTAAATGTTTCATTGACACAATTGCTCCAGAAGGGGCATATTTTCCATTTTTTTTTATTTGTTATATTTTCTCATGTGACTTTATCTCCTAAATAGGCAGCTCTAGCGGCTAAAAGGGCAAGAGAATTGGTGAGACAGAAAAGTGTATTGAGATCTTCATCTCTTCCGGGAAAATTAGCTGATTGCTCATCTACGAAACCCGAAGAATGTGGTATATAATTGGCCCTTCTTTCATGAATTTTCTTCTCTACTTAGTAGATAGACACTTGTGGATCATATGACTGATGTTCTCTGACCTGTTCTGTAGGTTCTCTTTGTTTTTTTTTTTTTTTAAACAATTAATTGATGAGAAGAGAGAAAAGCACAGAAAGTTACAAAACGATGACAAATATCCTCTCCAAACAAGAAATAATGAGGTTCTTTCTCAAAAAGGCCTTTCATTCCCTCTGAAGATCCACAAGAGATGTCCGCTTTAGGAAACCATTGGCAGAGACCAACAAAGAGGACATAAAATTATATTATCCAAAGAAGTGTGGTGGATGGAATATTGGGTTGAATACCATCGCATTATAACTGAAAGCACCAGAGACTACACATTGCCATAGAACTGTTATATTTTCCTTGGTTATTTGCATCTCAACTTTTGAAACTCATGACACAAACATCAGGTGATAAACCCTACTTGTTTTTCTGTCAGAATGCTGTAGGCTGGAACTTAAACACAATTTTAATGAAATTGAGATCAAGCTGAACCGTTTGTATGGTCCTTTTCATGAAATGGAATGTCTTAATGTACTGTGTCCAAGATCCTAAGTATGTATGCTTTGGCCCGTCTTCATTAGAAATGAAATGTACGTTACTGCTTGTTTGATGCATGTCAGTTTCCCCATTGCGTGCACTCCCCTTTGGTTTTATTTCCTGGTAGAGTAGTTTTCTATGGTTTGAATGAAATGTGTCTCTTCGTTTATGTACTGCAGAAATTTTCATAGTCGAGGGTGATTCTGCTGGAGGAAGTGCTAAACAAGCTCGTGACAGGCGTTTCCAGGTAAATTATAAATATTGGGATGAAATCCTATTATAATGAAATCACTAATGACCTTATGCAAGTATTTGAAGCTGATAATAAGGAAGTGGCATGGGCAAAGCCCTGAAAAAAAATCATGATATCCATAACTAATAGGAAATCATCCCTTACAAAAGCTTCGATTTTCAAGGGAAATTATTTTTATGAGCCATAACCTTCTATTCATTTTAACAATAATGAAATTGCTCTTGCATGACCATTTCTACCACCCATGGACATTATTGATAACATTTGTGCGACAGAAAGTAAATGAATCTATAGTGTTAATATTATCACTCGTACAAGTTCTTTTTTTTTTTTTTAACTTTATTTTCATGAAAGCTTATAATTACTTGAGGAAAAGAAGAACAGAGTCAATTTAATGATATTGATGTTATGATATTATGAAATTGCTCCAACTGTAGTGTTGCCATATGTATTTAGCTCTCATATTCCTGGATGCATTTCTGACAATTTTGATTCGTTTTCCCCTATTGTTGATATCACGTATTTTTCACCTTTTTCATCATTGCTATTTACTGACATTTGGGCCAATTAAAATAATAAGTTCTGGTGTTCATTGCTGGTTGGTCCATGACATATTTGATGGCTTCTCGTTTTGTAATTATATCCATTCTGTATTTGCGACTTACCTATTTTGTTATATTGGCCATATTCTTGCTAACTGATAAACATTAAGTGTTGTACGACTGTATGATTTCATCAGACAATGTATGGTGCAGGCCATTCTTCCTCTGAGAGGCAAAATTTTAAATGTTGAACGGAAGGATGAAGCAGCGATTTACAAAAATGAAGAACTCCAAAATCTAATTCTTGCTCTCGGGCTTGGATTGAAGGTTGAATTTCCCTATACATTATTTATTGAACTTATTTTTGACATGGCAGGAAGTAATTGAGACTCTGATCTTATTGAACCCATTCTCTTCATGGTTAAATTAAAAATCAGCCTATGGTCCACGCCTGTGCTTTGCTCACATGTCAAACCTACATGGCTATCATGTTCCAGTTGCTTCAAGAATTTGAAACATTCTTGGATATCGATCTATGATTTTAAGCTTATATTGAACTGGTGTCTGGCTGTACTGATTGGATGTTGATAAAGGAGCAGAAATAAGGTGAAAAAACAAAGTGATCCAAAATTCTAGTAGCAAATGCAGTTTCCAAGCTATCTTGTTAAAGTTCAAAGTCCCAAGGGCCAGTATTTAAGATATTAGAAATTCCTACCGAGACGTGTATGAAACTAGATAAATAGCAATTATTTCAAGGTTTGAAGAGATTTTACGAAGAGAGAAAGGAGGAATAAAGGAAGAATACGTAGAAATCATATAGCTATATTCAGAGGGAATTCAGTGTCCAAAATCGTTGAGCTATATGCAGAGGCAATTCCATGTGCAAAAGGGACACTAGGTGTAATCTTGAATGTAGTAGGGTGAGTGACCTTAACTAACCCCAAAACTGAATTCAAAAAATATTCCATGCATAGCATTAAGTTTTATTGCCTGTTAGTAATTGTCCCTGTATCAACGTAAATGTTTAAACCAATTGGCTGAATCAGGGAGAGGATTTTAAAAAGGATGCACTCCGATATCACAAGATTATCATTTTAACTGATGCTGATGTAGACGGTGCTCATATCCGGACTCTACTATTGACATTTTTCTTCAGATATCAGGTAAAGGATGGAAAATTCTACAAAAGTTCACTTCTATGAAGAAAACCAGATCAATTCATTTAGAGAGTAAATGCAAATTATATGATCCATTTGATTGATGCAGTATAATTTTTTTTTCCCCTCAGAGGGCTTTATTTGATGCAGGTTGCATATATGTTGGTGTTCCACCGCTCTACAAGGTTTGCTTATAGTTCAGTTTCGTTGTTGATTTTTTTTCCCCAGTGAAAGAGGAAAGGGTTTTCATTGAGGGGAATTGCACAGGAAGCAAATTCAAGCTAACTTCCAGTTATTTTATATGAAATAATCAGGTAGAAAGGGGAAAACAAGTATACTATTGCTATGATGACGCTGACCTTAGAAAGCTTAGAAGTTCATTCCCTCCTAATGCAACATACAACTTGCAAAGGTTCAAAGGTATGAACAGTTACGTTACTTTGTGTTGCATGCATGCTTGTTTTCCACTATTATCCCTTTTGGAGAACTACATACTTTTTAATTAGGATTGTCCTTTGCTCCCAATTGGAAAATATTGCAGATGATTATTAGTTTTAAAATGCATACCTTTCCTTCAGTGGTTTATGTAATGATTATTTTGTTGCTTGTACATTGATTGTGCACTTCTTGATAGATACATTGGTTCAAAAGTGGACTAAAGTTTGTATTATGCTGGAGTCCTGGTGTAAAAAATTCCAGGTCAATTAATTTATGCACTTCTACCCTTTTATTCTACAAGATTAAATTCTATGATGCAGGACTTGGGGAGATGATGCCTTCACAACTATGGGAGACAACAATGGATCCAGAACGCAGAATGTTGAAGCGATTAATGATTGAGGATGTAGCCGAGGCAAATGTTGTCTTCTCCTCCCTTATGGGAGCTCGGGTAATTTGCCTTATTGCTGTCTTATTTTATGGTGATTTGTATTAACGAAGCTTTTCAATTCTTGGTGATTACTGTAGAAGAATATGACGGTATACACATTTTGAATTTAAAAAATCGACAGCAAGCAAAGCAACTTCAGACTTCTAATGCAAGATTTCATTGAAAGAAGAACGGGTTAATAATTTGTCGAAGATCTTCTGCTATTTCATGTCCTTTGCTGGTATTAAGTGGATATTTTCAGTTTTGAAATATCAACTAATGATGACAAAACATCATATAGTGGTTGAGTAGTCATGAAACTGAATACTGTAGAATCGAATGATATGCTTGGTCCTTGGAGGTGATTTACCCGTTTGATAATCTTGGGAGAGCTGTAAGCTAAATTTGAATCAAGATTTTGGAACTTAATGGTACATTAAGCAAAATGCATTAACCGCATGAATTCTTGGATGACGACTCAACATATCAGATTATTAGTTATTAATTTATTATGTTGTATTCTGAGTTTGTAATTTAAATTTGTATTAGGTGGATGCTCGGAAGGAGTTGATACAGAAGTATGCAAGTATGATAGATCGTGATCAACTAGACATTTGAAGCAATATTTCTCTTGATATCTGCAGTGCAACATAGTATCGCCCAATTTTTTCCTCCAGTGGTAAGCGATGGCCTACGTCTACGAAGAAGAAACTTCATTCCCTTTTGGTTTTGGGCAATGGCTGCCATTTAGTTGATCCGAAACACATTTTCATGGCATTCATGTAATTTTCTTTTGTCCATCACTGGAGGTTTGTATTTTAGTCGTACAAATTATGTTGGCATTCCGGATGAACCTTCAATGTATTATTTCAATTCAATTTTTGTAGATTATTTCCAGGTTTCTACCCAGCTCTACATATGGTGTTTAGTGTTTTACGATGTGCTTGAGTTTTCCCTCAGTTTTCTCAGAATATATGTCGTTTACTAGCAGTTTACGCTTAGTGGATCGGTCTTTTTTCTAAGAGTGGGAGAATTACAATCCCACATTTTGGGTTAATCTTTTCTAGTATGTCATGACTACTCGTAAATTACTGCACAAGAGTTCATGCTTATGTGGTTTATGTGAAATTTGAATGAAACAAAACAAAAGGAGCCTTTTAGGCCGGAGAAGCAATCTCCCCTGGACTACTGATGGTAAAAGAATGACGTCCAAATGACTTAATAAGTTTCTTATGAACAAAAAGCCGTTTTATTTTTGACCCATTTGGGCCAAAAGTAACTTAATTACCTACTAGTGGCACAGGCCCTCGTCACCTACTTTTACCTATCAAATCGTGCTTATTGCTGCTGGAACAATATATGTCAACTATTCCACGGTGTTAATATTTTTTTCCCTCTATATTTTTATTTTCTTGATGGTTTTGTTTCTTTTTTGTTTTTCTGTTTCTTTATTACTGTTTGATTGCTTTTGTTTCTCCGGATTCTTTGTATTTTCCTTTATTAATAAATTTTTAAAAAAATATTTACATAAATAATTTCTTATAATATTTCTAATTTTTTTAAATATATTTGATTCATTAGATTTAACTTCTTCCTGTTAACATAATTTAACATTATTATATTTTGTAAATTTATTTTTTATTATTTAATAAAAGTCATACCTATTTTGTTTATTTTACAAATTAAACTTACTTATTCAGTTATAATCCAAATAATTTTATTTTTTATAAACTGAGTTTTATAAAAGCTAATTAAAACATAAATCATATTACCTAATTTGACTTTTCTAAAAATCAAATTAAATGTAAGCTACTTTTTTTACCGTCAATCCAAATGGGTCCTAAATCTCCTACAGGTTAAGTAAATATCTAGTCATATACAAATACCAAATGAAGTAATGTGAATTTTATGGGGTATTTGACTGAAAACCAAATCATAATTTTAAAAATAATTTTATAATATATAAAGTAAGTATGTAAGAGGAATTTCGTATTAGCTTATGTTAAGATGCTTTTTTAAAATGTTTTTGTTTGTTCCCAAACATCCTCTTAATCTAATCTAATTAAATTCATATATTATATTTGATAACAGGATTTCACTGCTAAAGAAAACATGACGGAAGCTAATTATGATGGTGTTCCCATTCAAATAACCATCTATTTGTTCTGTTTTTTTTTTTGAAGAATAAAAGACACACACACACGCATCCTTAGTTAATTAAACTTTTAACTTAAGAACGATTCACAGATAAAGAAATAAATAAATAAAGTAGCGTCTGAAACGGAAGAGAGAATATGTTCACCAAAAAAAAAAAAAACCGGAACAGAGAATATGCGCCTAAAATATTCGAATCCCGTAAGCGAGAGCGCGACCGGTGCATACAAAAAGCAGAAACTAATTCCGGCAACAATTTTTTTTTTGCAGGAGACTACTTGAAGATCATCTAATTGTTCTTCTGCTTCTACCAGGAAATTATAAAGACCAAGTTCATTCCTGCCTCATGGCCTTGCTGGCTGATGGATTCTGCGATTAAGTCGCATTGTTTAGCCATCAAATAATACAAGCACAAGTTTCAAGCGTCCTAAATAAGAATAACTACTAGACAAACGGGTTTGCATGTTTTCTCGTTATGCTTTTGGGCGATGCGGTTCAACTCTCTGGTTTACTCATGAAGGTATAACCTTAACTTGTTCTTATCCATGGAATACCAGTATAAATTACCTGTGAATTTTAAGAATGAGCGATTGTCATTTCGGTCTTGCTGTTTGAAAGTTGGAAGACGTCCATTTCTTCGCAAGAAAGTCCAAGCAATAAAAACGCCAAGCGTATGATCTGCGCAGCAATTGATGTTTGAAGATTCGCTATATATAAAGTATAAACGTCATTTGTTGTCAAGTTAATGGCTTATGTCTTTTTTGTCAAATGCTTCTCTCAATGCATATTATATGGCTCTGATTTAATGAAGAATTGGAAAGGAAAATGACTCTCTGTTTCTGTCCTAGTTTTTTAGAGCAGCTGACAGAAGAGTTGAAAAGTTGTCAGGTATCCTTTTTCTAAATATGCTTTTGTTTGAGGGAAACAGTGTTAAGATTTTTGACTCTGGTTAGTGTTGTGATGTTAAGTTCAAAGCAAAATGTTTTGCTAATAATGTTTATTAGTCAAAGAGGATGAGGGATGAAATTTCAATAGGCTGTTATAGAAGATGGAATTTTCTGAGTCGACAAATATGTTAGCATCTAACAAAGATAACCAAGGTGTGAGACGCCGGACTCCAGTTAAAGTAGTGGTCCCGCTGAGTTGCACCTAGCATCATATCCGTTGGTTTCTTGTTTCCAAACACTGTCCTGTTTGTGAAGGATCAAAGGCTTGGCCTTGATTTTGATGGAATTTTTGCCAATGTATCCCTGGCCAAAATGATCGATGATTTTGGATGTTTACAGAGGCCCAAATAGGATGTTTTCTATGATGCATGATAGCGAATTCTGAAAATGTCTAGTCCTCCATTGTGTTAGGAAGTAACTGCACAACATCGAGTTTTTGTGATAGGCCAGTTGATGTGGATTTAATCTCTCATCAATGAAGAAAACAGCATTCGGACGGAAGAAATAATGATCAAAATGATTAAAAATACCGCGATCTACACACATAAGTAAATAGCTGGTTCGGTATAGGAATTGTTCCAACTAATAGTAGGAATAGAGCACAGATTTGAATGACAAAAAGCTCTTTAGAAGGGGCGAGTTTTCAAGTGGTTGGATATTTAGCCGAAGGCAGCTCACTCAGTGTGTTATTCTATCATTTTCTAGAATTTGGATTCTTAGGCTACAACTACACATGCAATTCTAGTTTGTCCTTCTGTTAAAAGAACATTTTATTCTCACAATGTCAGCAATTCTTCTGTTGCTTTGTAGATAATGTTTTCATACGGGAGAATGAGCTCTTTTTTTTTGGGAACGGAATATAATTGCAATTTTCTTGATGCTTTGCCTAATGAACATGACATTTATAATCGAGGGCTTTCAACTGTTTCTGTACATAAATTTAATTGCACTGACATTTAGTTTGAACCAGGTACTCAAAAGACATTGCTAGAGAACTACTTAGACCGTTAGACCAATGCTTTACATCTCTCCTTCGTGGAGGACTCCTCTAAAGAATGCCAAAACTTTTAAGGTTTTGCAAGAAGGTTTCTCCAATTAGGGAGCCAACCTTAATGAATACAGCAGGATATCCTATTGGAGCTTCTACCCATGCTTCGCTTCCTTTTTCAAAAAACACTTTCCCTGTCCAGATGTGTTGCCAACTACTAGTCTCTTCCACTGGAAAATAGGCTTTAACTTTCTTTATTCCTTTGTCAAGAACAGGCACCACTAGAATCTCAGAACCAACCATGAACTGCTGATAACTCAACTGATGCACATGTTCATCACTTGGGTAATGGAGAAAAAGGTGGCGGCATACAGGCAGCCCTTTTTGTGCCGATTCCTGTACAGAAAGAACTCGAAAGGGACATGTTAGTTGTTTGCTGAGTCTATAAAATCTGCACTAAATTGGTATAACGATTTTGGGAATCACCTTCACCAGCTGAATGCGGTAAAATTTCCAGGCCGAGTACACTTTTGCAAAGCGTGCAAAATGTGACAATGTTCGTTGGTTCGAATAGAACTGGCTGTTGCGAGACGGTTTGTTTCCCTGTTTGCCGAAGATGAAGAATTGTAAGTGATTGATATGATGCAACTCCAATAGCTGTTTATTGAAATTGCAAGATCCCTTTCTTTCGGCCCTTAAGATGACCCATATTATTCAGAATGTGGAATTTTATAAAATAGACATCTCCATGGGCACCCTCTTTCTCTTTGAAGAATAAGCATTTATACAGAAAATCGGTATTTCCTGAAACGAATGCGCAATGTGCTGACCCATGACGATCATAGCCAAACCATTTCTGTAACTTTAAAAATAACAATGGATAAGAAGAAACAATTATAGAACTTAGCAGGTGACTCTTCTTTTTCCGGGAGTGATGTCAGAAATGAATATTTTTATTGTTGAGCAAGATTCTTGATTATGATGCATGCTTTTGAAAATTAGATGTAAATTGATTGTGAAGGTGGAAAAAAAGGTAATGATGAGAGAAATTGTCATGATGCAGGTGTATGCTACTTACTTCATGGGTGCGGAAGATGGTGGTAAATGAATTAAGTTCCATCCAACGCAAAAGCAGCTCCTCACTTCTTCTATACTTGATTATAGGTAAGTTTACTGTGCAATAACCTCCTATGTCACTGTGATTAAAAGCAAACCCTGAAATTCCACTGCTTAGTAGGCCAACAACGGAACTCTTGATCCCATCATTCATTTGCCAACTAACCATTTGGTCTCCTTCCCAGAATAGCATCCCCCACCTGGGGCTATCTCTAAAACCAGCCCTCATGAAGAAAACCAAGCCCTCTTCTTTTGCCTTCTCCAAATTGTCGTTTTTCCATTCTTCAACAAACTCCCTGTTGATCTGGGCCCATAGTTCTGGGTATTTGTTATGAGCCGAAATAGGATCTTCACCTGAAACGTAGCGTGCAAAAGTTTAGTACTCATAAGCTCCAACAAGTTCTTCTTGCGCTCTGAACTTTTTTTCCTTTTCCCTTTTTATTTTTTTTTGGGGGGGGGGGGGTGGCGCGGAGGTTTGGTTGGGTGGGATAATTATCAACATAACAAATCAAGCAATTAACTGAAAGTGATCGTGGTGGTAAGTCATCATTGAAACCTATTGAATTAGATTGAATTTGCTGCCCTTATATGAGTACACACACACAAAGGAAACAAGACAAGATCCGGTAGATAGAAGCAAAGGCATGTTTCCCAGCCAATAGCCTCCTGGATCTTCTCGTTGCTTGTTGAAATTCTGGATCTCTATTGGTCACTGGAAATGGATATGAAATTCAAATGAGGGGGGAAAAAATGAAAGAAAAGAGCCTCGTTCAATACTCTTTTCTTGCTTTGACCCACTTCCATGTTTTTCTGTCTGATGATCAGCTGATGGGTCATTCAGAAAAAGTCCCAGGTTGTCCCGATGTATAGAAGCTCTGGGGGGAAGAAAATAAACCTGAATAGAGAATGGCATCCACTGGCAGGCCTTCCCCAAAATCAGCCATCCATCCTCTAACACCATCATCCACCATTTCTCGTAGAATCTGCTTGAACCATGTTGCGGTTTTTGGGTGTGTTAGATCCAACATGCCCACATCAAAAGCTGTATTAGGAACCATGTATGGATCCCCGTTCTTGTTTTTTACCAAGATGTCCAACTGCCTTGCCTCCTCCAAGTGGTTTCTTCTTTTGTTTGTCTTCTCATCAACCTGTGGGGGATCAAACAACAAATTTATACAAGTGGATTTTGGCCTCCAGTCCACAACTTTTATCTCGCGAAATATTCTGTACTTGAAGTGTTCAAAGAATGTAGTACCGGAGCTAGACATGGATTACAATATGTCATAACTTTGATTTGCCGAGCACTGAGATCTTTGATAAGCTCCTTCCATCCGCTATACCTCTGTGCATCCACTTCCCAATTCCACCACAATTGTGAACCAATAAAAGTTTCTCTCTGCCCTACCCAATCCTATTCAACAATTACAAATTCGAAGTAAATTTACAAAATAATCAAAATGTGACATCAATATATGCTAGAAGTTCACATTAGGTCTGAAGGTCTCTACAGAAGCGAGTTGCATTTATAGATTATCAAAAAGCCTACTAAAACTGCCTAATATTTTCTTCTTCCCTTTCCTCAAGTGTAGGGCAAAGGAATTACCTGCAACCAAAATGCTGAAATTGGAAGGTCATAAGCCCTTAGTTCATTCCAGATATGACGCACTGCTTCTGTCCCACCCTGCATCCCGACTATAGCACCAGATATTATCCACTCTGGAAGCTCAGGTTGCCTTCCAATCGTTTCTGTGAAACATTCAATGAGTTCACAAGGTGAGTTCCCATGCAATATCCGCCCATCAACTGAATTCCCATGTATCTGCAAACTCCATTTCGCAGAAAATTGAAAACTGTGTGTTTTGAGTGAAAGAAAGAAAAAGAAAATAAAAGGCTGATCGAATACCTGGATCTGTACCCTATCCGGTATTGTCAGATCAAAAATAGTATAATCATATCCTTCAAGGTAAATGGACCTCATTTTAGATGTCATGTAGAATGGAGAAGGTGCATAAGTCGTACTCCAATCCCCCCCTGCCCTGCCAATCAGTGAAATGACCTCAACAACATATAATACATCATTTGATATATACAGGTTGAGCATATGAAGCCGGTGCTCTGCTTTACCTGTAACTGACCAAGTTAGCAGCAAAGGTGATCGGTTGATCTCCTCGTCCAATTCCCTGTTCTTGAACAAAGATGGGTATCTTTTTCCCTTTCAAATTCATGTGAGAGAACTGCTCCCCAAAACCGTAAAATCTCTCATCCTCGTCAGTCGCATACGTCAACCAAATTCTGTTGAAGTCTGCTGATTCTGGATTTTTCAATTTTGCCATTTCTTCCTCTGCCGACGAAACTAAGGCAAAACCTCCTGACCTCGTAAGATTCCAAAACCACGCAAACCTGCTTTGTCGGTTAATCAGCCCCTTCTTAAATCCTCGGTATTTTCCCGAAACTGCTGGAGAGCTATGCTTGCGTGAAATGATTTTGGGTGTTTCAGTCTTAACTTGAAATCCAACCTGACTATTGGTTTTCTGACTGAACAACACCCAGTACCTTGCAGAGGCAGAGGGTCCTGTTGCCTTAAGCTGCATATTTGAATGCATGACTCGCTTCAACTTTCTGTTCTTCGTCGTATTGAAAATCCTTCCCCTGATCAGCAATGTACGAAGACGTGTATATCTTATATCGCTTTTCTGATTTAATCCCAGGTACCCAGAAGGAGAGTTGGCGACCTCAGTTTCCGAAAGACGATCGCATGGATTAATCACCTTAATATCGTCAATGGTTTGGTGATGGCAAAGCAAATGAACATCTCTGTCTTTGACAAGGAAGGAACCTCTGCTTTCTTCCACTTCGGTGTCAGCCAGTGCAGCGGAGACGAAAGCCTGTCCTGGGATAGTAGACCAAATGGGTCGGCTTGGCTGAGAAAGATGCGAAATTGAGAGGTATCCACCATAGTCGGAGGACCAAGAAAGCTGAAAATCATCACCAATTGGGAAGATTTCATGTGAATGCAGTGCTTTGGAATTGGCGAAAAGAGACCCTTGAATAAAGGGAATGGTTGATGGAGCAGAAGGGAATGGGTTGTTGAAGCGGCTATGGTGCTTTTGGGTTATCTTAAGGATCGCCATGAATGAATTGTATCAGAGAAAATTATATGTGCAAGATACAGGAATGGAGAATTCCTGAGAATGAATTCTTTCGTTAATTTTCCGGAATTCTTGAGTTTCTTAGTTTGAAACTATTGGATGGGATAGTTGGCGAAATCCCTTGCACGCCAGTTTTTGTGTAAACGGTCTTGATAGGCCAGACTTGACTCTGGAACAGGACACAGGAATTGGTGCGAAGCGGACTAAGCTTCACCGAAAATGGAATTTTCTTTTCTTTTTTTTTTAAATCACAACGGAGCATGGGTGACAGTCATCGCCGTGCTACTTCGGCTCACTACTTATACACACCGCCTGTTTCGATAGGAGTTGGAAAAATTATCCAAACATGCATTTTCTGATTTGCTTCTGTATTTTGATTAAAATAATTCTACCCAAAATCTTGTTTATGAATCAGTTTTGATCAAAGTTTATTTTTACTTTGCTCAACATTATCCAAACGCATCCGTAGATTCAGAGGTTAATACCGTTGAATCTTCCATCTTTAAAACTGCTCCTAAAATTGAATCTTCCCTTCTTTGTGGACAGATTCCCCCATCTGCATTTGGTCCTCATAAGAGTCAGCATTCATGCAGCACTGACCTCAGCGAAAGAAAAGATGCAACGTAAGACTTATGGGGCATCGGAATGTTGCAAAAGCATTTTAAAAAAGTACTTTCACCTAAATTAAGAAAAAAAATTTCTCACATGTCTATTTTGAATTTAATAAAATTACTTCTAAAATTATAGTTTGGTTTTCACTTAAATATCCGTTATTAGTCACGTGTTTTTTAACTTTTTTTTTAATTTATCTATTTATTTATTGAGCCAGGACAAGCAATTTTGTACCTTTCTTAGGCTACTCTCCTCCAAGTTCAAATTGCAAAAATATATATGTTCTTGTTATTGGGAAGATTTAACAAGACAATGCCACAGTGATTTACTAATGGAAGTTGAGTTTAGTGAAAAGGGCTCATTACCTACAACGTAGTAAATCAAGGTTTAAATTTTTACTAGCCAAGGTGTCAATATTTAGTACCGGACAGTGTCTCGAATAGGATTGCCTCTAATAAAAAGATCCATGCCTACAAAAAAGAATGATGGTGATCCACCCTAAAAATTGCATTTAACAACTGTTTCTTAAAAACAGTAAAGTCATTTCAGAAAAAACAACACACAAAAAATAAGTTTGAAATGGGTAAATGCTAATACTTGGTAATGACAAAAAGGAAAGCACAATTTAAAGTGATATTTTAAAAATTAAAGCAAAATGACATAAATGTCCCTTATTTACATCAACGGCAAGCCGACTCCAACAAAAAATTAAGGGTGATAGTCAAGTTGCCAAATTTTATTGACATTATGATGCAAAAAATTATATAAGTTAGCTTCTTAGCTGATTGCGAGTCATTCACAACCTCTGTACAAGTATGTGCTGTATTTCACGGGTTGCTAACAATTTTCATTTAGCAAGTAACAAGATTATTCTTTCAGGTTAGTCACAACATTGTATAGGTATTAACTATATTTTATTAGCTATTAAAAATTTTTGTTTAGTAAATAACAATACTACTCATTCAGGTAATTTATAACTTTTATTAAAAGCCGTGTTATATGATAAGTGTTTTTAATTTGCTTCTGTCATTTGATCAAAAAATAATTCTACTCAAAATCTTGTTTATGAATCATTGGCCAAAAAAAATCTTGTTGTGAACCAGTTTTATTCAAATTTTATTTCACTCAAAATTAATCCAAGCGCATCCATAGATTCGGATGTTAATGCCCTTGAATCTTCCATCTATGAAAGTGACTGAAACTTCCACTAAAAGTGAATCTTCCCCTTTTTTCTGGACATGTTCCACCATCTGCATTTGGTGCTCATAAGAGTCGGTATTCATGCAGCTCTAACCTAAACAAATGAAAAGATCCAACGGAAGACTTGGGCCTTGCTATTCACATATGCTTTTTAACCTTTATTTTATTTATTTATTTATTGAATGATTGGGTAGGGGACAAGCGATTTTGTGACTTTCTTGGGGTACCATCCACCAAGTTCAAATTGCAGAAGTATACCTGTCCTGAAAATTGCAGTTAACAATGGTTTATAGTAAATAGGGAAGCCATTTAGGTGGAGTAGCCCAAATGATAAAGGAAAAATGGGATATCAGTAGGGATTCATCAAAAGCATGAGTCTGAGATATCAAAAAGACTGGACAAAAGAACAATTTACTAGTCCCTGTTTTTGGTTTTTTATAACAAAGAAAGGGCCTAAGCCCCAAAACAAATTATCCCCTTTAAGCTGTATAAAACAACGTATATTTTTTTCGAGTGGAAAGAATTGCGTTTCCATCGAATTCATCAGGCTCACTAAGGTCGTCCTCGTCCTCGTCCACCCTCATGCTTTGCAAAGACACAATTTGAAAGTGTCTTCTTGAAAGTCACAACTTCAACCCCGGAACGTGATAGCGGACCCCCATGAAATATGATAAAAGAAAAAAACCTAATTTGTGCAACGACATAAGCAATTGAGCGCCAAGGCAGTGAGTTTGTCCCATTTAGGAGGGAAAACAAAATGCTCAACGTAATATACAACTAACGCATGGCAGCTCCATACCAAGAAAGTTGAAACAAAATTAGGGGATCGTTAATTTGATCAATCAAGCAAATCAGAAACTGTTGTTCTTCTAAATGCATCAACTTCAGCCAACTGATCCAAAAAAGCTTTACTGGGAGAAATAATCTCAGCTTTCACCCTCTCCCTCATCCCATAAGCTGGAAGCTTAGCATTTATATACGCCTGTATTAGAACCTGGAAGCTACTTAGCCGAGAAATAAAACCCGCTTGTCTCATTCTATAGAAAATTTTTTCTGCATTATGGACATCACCTCTTTTTGCATATTGTTCCAGGATATATATGTAAGTGTTATAGAGTGGCCTTATCCGGGTCTGCTGGATTGCCTTCTGCAAAAGAGAGTCTGCCTTCTCCACTTCATCTGCTTGGACATAGAGTCTCACAAGTGCATCCCAGGTCATCGGGCCTATATGACGCCCGCTATTTGCCATTCGCTTTATAAGATCCTTGCCCTTAGTTAGCATATTATTATCTGCATAAGCCCTCAGGAGTGCTGCATACTGCCTGGATGAAGGATTTTTCCATTTATCCATCATCATCTCAAAAAATGTCTCTGCTTTTTCAATTTTCTTCAACTTTCCCCAAGCTTCAATTACGGCTAGAAACTCATAAGTCCGAGGATCTGATTCACAAACTGTCCAAATTCTCTCCACTTCATTAGCCTTTCCCACGTCTGCATAGATTGTAAACAAATATCGACATACCCATCTCTTTTCTTTCAAATTTCCCCTTTCTATCTCCTTCAACACAGCTTCAACTTTTTCTTTAAGTCCCGCAGATGCATAGTGCTTAGCCAAGGCAAGCTGTATTTGGATGTCTGGTTCAACACCTTCAGCCTTCATCGTCTCTACAATTTTTTCCATTCCAGCAACGTCATTGTACTTGCCTTTTGCATCTATTAAGATTTTATAAGAAGCACAAGAAGGTTTGATGTCCTCTTTTTCCATTAACGATAAAACACTGGCTATTTTCCTCTTGTCAGTCCTCTTGTACAGAAGAAGCATCTGATTAAAAGCAAATATTGAAACAGGGAGTTTTAAATCCTTCATTTTAGCAAATACTTCCTCTGCTTTTACCAAATTGTTCTGACTAACGTAGTTAGCCAATAAAGTTAGGTATACATGCTCTCCTCTAAAGGATTTTGGGATCCTCCCCAAGTAAATCTCAGCTTTGTGGAGGCCACGCACTTTGGCAATCAAATCAAGTCGAGATGCATAATCTTTTTCAGTAAGGTAAATCTTCCGTTTTGCTTCAACCCAATCAGAAAGCTACAGAACCAGCAAACAATATAGATAAAGTTATTCCAAATCTTCCTCTAGGATTTAGGCATACACTAAAGCTGTCAAAGGTACAATAGATGAGCATCAATAATTCTTATATATACAGAGAACTAATTAGAAACCTTGCAAAGCAAGACCGAAATCATCCAAGCTATAAAACAAACTAGAATAACAAAATGAAATATCATTAATTGCAAGCATAAACAAATTGTCATAGAGGTTAGCTCATAATCATCAGCATAATTAAGGCTGTCAAGTTTAAGGTCTTAATTACATGCAATCAATACACTAAATAATTAAATCATAGGATAAGTATCACGACAGCCTAACTCCCATGTAAAATAACAATTACAATCATACAAGTATTTTATAGACAAGTTACGAATAAATACAACATGATTAGATGCACTTCTAACATCATACTCAAATTACACAATAAATAAGTTAGACTAAAGACATGTTAATAGTTGGGGCATTTTGCGACAATAACAAGAGGAAATAGCTTCGTAAGTGGTTTGAAACATTCAGGTGGTGAATATAAAAATAAAAGAGAAAACCACACTTCCTGGGGCATTAAAGGCCCCTCATTTCTTGCCTAAACGACACTTATTGCACCTAAGATCCTCCTTCTTCAAAGGCAAAGATGTTAGATCTTAGAGTTATCTCATCATCAACCTTCAACAATGGATCTGAAGGTTGAAGGCATGGGAAGGCTCCAGGGACATGATATCATTAAGGGTTAATGCTGGTTTTATGACTTTCTTTCCACTTAAATTGACCTAAGGGTTTATAAAATTGGCAGCCTGCAGCCCCCAAAACCAAAATGTCGTTGGATTGGTAATTTAAAATTTCGATTGAGATCTTGTTGAGATTTAAGAATATTTAAATCTTACATAGGATTGGGACAGTTTAAGTTATTTGAGAACATTATATCAGAAGACAACAATACAAATCGAGATCTAAATCTTGATAACCGTGACCATAATACTTCAAAATTTCAGATGTGTAGATTGGAATCTTCACCCGTTTACCTGTAAAGCCTTCCCATACATTCGAAGAACACGAAGATTACGTATGGCCAAAGATATCTCTGATCTGCTTAATTCTTTCCCTTCCTCAACCCACTTTATAAGAACAGAATTAACAGACAACCTCGGGTTTCTAGTGATCGTCTTGAATAGTTCAGACTGAATCCCTTCCTCCCGTGATTCTTTTTCAGTTGAATCAATCTCAGTATCTGATAACTCCAGCTCATTGTTTGAATTCTCCACACCCTTATCTTCATATGATGAGTCTTGTTCAGATATTAATTCAACAACCTTTCCAACACTGTCATGTCCTTCCCCCACAGGTGTCTCCAGTTCATGTTCCACATCATCCTCCTCTTTCTTGCTTCTTGCATCAGCTTGTGAAGAAAGTTGACGCACAATAATGTCGGCGGATGTGTGTCCCGCACTGTGGAATGTCTTGAATGAAAGAGATCCTTTGAACGGTATTTGAGGAGACTCAATGATACCAGCCTCATCTACTTTATTGGTTGTTAATCTAACACAGCAAGCACAAGAAGTTCCTACACTGAATCCCCGGAGTCTGCAAACAATGTGCTATAAAGCATTAAACGTATTCAAAAGTTGTTCATTATAATAAATTGTAAATAAAATCTACAGTCCGAGAAAGAACATTCAATACTCATCTCTCGACTTCATACGAAAAGAGCAATAGAAAATCCTAGGGTATATTATACATTTTTGTATTACTAAGACCATTCACTATTTCTTGAAGCTCAATCTCCCCCCAAATGAACCATATATTAGCCAAACTTTCAGGCAAAAGTTAATTCAACAGAACCAATACATCAGTATATAGCAGCAAGTTGTCTAGTGTGTAATACACGTAGTAACGAAAATATGAATTATAATCACCCTTTGTTAAATTTTAGAAATCTTATAATTTATTTTCATCTAGTACTATCTTAATGCCCCGTATAATCGTATAGTCTTATAAGATGCCGCCTCTGCTAACTAGACGCAGAAGCACCTCCAAGTAACACGAAAATTTCCTTTTTTTCAATTACTTTGCTGGATTATTTTAACAAATGACTATTATGTATCACAAAACTGAAGCATCTCAACGAGGGGACCGTTTCCATCATAGCCCGATTTCTCCTTAAGAATCATATTCCACAGCAAAACAAAACCAAGAAACAAGTCAATTTTCCATCGAATAAATTACATAACACTCACCTGAGAGATATTGAAGCTCGACGAATAGCCCACATGGTAAGGAGCGCTTTAGGCGAAAAGTTCGACACAGGGGACGTGGAGAATGGAAATGTGGCATACGGGAAGCGGAAGCTTCACGCTTAAACCCTAAACCCTCGCGGCTTTTCCATTTCTAACGTCAGGCCCGATTACTAGGATTATCGGTTTTTTTTTTTTTAAAATCAGTGCGAACTGCGAAGCTCGGATGCGCTGCTTCTTTCGGCACATACAACTGTACAAGTATAGCAAATTTTGCGCAAAACTTCACCTGGCAAAGCATGAGGTCATGACGTAGCATCGTGAATTCGAATTCTGTTGTTAACCTAAACCCTTCTTAAAGACCAACTCACTTACACCTTTTTATTTGGGGGGAAAAAAAAAACTGACCGGTGTTCCGTTAGAAATCCATAAATTGAGTTAAGTATTTTAATTTTTATTATTTGCATTACATCCCCACACGAAACAGGAAATTGCAAGAAATTTTCAGAAATAAATCTTCTTTGTTCAAATATGATTTTAATTACTTGGTCAAAAAAAAAATATGATTTTAATTACTGAACAACTTCGTCTGTCTTATATCACTGCATCGCAGAGTCAATTGTCCAATGTCAGTCATCTTCGGCTGGCATTTAAATTCCATTTAACTAAATCAAGGGCATCTGGATGGAGCATTTTGGCCAAAGGTGCGTGGCAAGATCAATCAATACATGTTTCCTAACTTCACTTCCAAGAAGTCACTCATATGGGTCTCAGCGGTCAGCGCACCAGAGTTTCTTCAGTTTTGAGATTTATCCTTTATATATTACTCTAGTTAAGACCTCTCCTGTTTACAATGCGATCTTCATCCAAAAAAAAAAAACAAAACACACAAACAAAATATTACTTGAATGTCGATGATGCTCCAATATGAATTAATCAATACTCCATTGAACATTAAATAACAGTCCCAAAACAAAGACCAATTATCAATGCACTACTTCATTTTAATTTGAAATTACTTCGGAGACTGCCCCCACCTTTTTCTGCCTGTGTTAATAAACAAAGAAACCTTAGCAGCTCAATGCCACACTCTAAGAAAGTACGTGAAGAATCTCAGGCTCGTCAAAAATTGAAAAAATGGTAGTGTGTGTGTGTGTGGGTGTATCTGTGTGTGAATAGGACTTCTTCCATTGATGGCATTATTGCAACATCAACAGCGGCAATGAAAGCAACAGTCATCAGTCTACATCTACAGAAGAGGAACAGTCAAGGTCCTGGAGAGTGATTTTTCCCAAGTATAAATCATTCATGTGATCAGCACAGAGAGGGATGCATCGTCGGTTCAGGCTTTCATGAATTGCACCCATACCTGGCACCCACGTCTCTCTGTCCAATGGGTTCACATTTAAGCTGTTTTGCAGCAAACGTACTCGATAAAGGATATTGGTTTTTCTGTCACAGAAGTGAGCAATGCAATAGGAAGGAGGCTCATCAGATGCCAATCTTATCATTGCCAAAGATAAAGCTCCATCGACAGGTTTTGGGTCTGAGAGATTTCTATCTCCCATCATCTTCACCTCCTTTTCGGTGGGAAAATGCACCTCTTCGCCCCCATTCATTTCATAGACTTTCAAATCTTTGCTGTAATGCTTGATGGCTTCGCGTTTAGTGGATTCATGCTTCTCTGCTAACGTCAAGATGCAAGAAAACCTCAAATGATAACTTACAATAGTTTTGACTGTCTTGAAGTTATGGCAGCAGCAGAAGAAATCAAGCCACCTTCTTGCTATGCCAGCATACCACTTGATAATATCGGCATCCTCAAGAGCCACGAGGAATTCTATTGGCCTTGGACGACCCATATGATTTGTAAAACCAACCATTTTTACAGCCTTCCTCATGGCTACTATAGGTGCATCAACTTTCATACAAAGCCTGGTCAAATCTTCAATTGTTCTCTTCGCGTACTTTTGTTCTTCCTCTTCCTCCGCCCTCCTTTCTTCTTCTTCTATTGCCCTAACAGCTTTTATAGGATTCAAATGTTTATCTACCTGGGCTTGGAACCGATCATATGAATCAATAAGCTCTGCTGGTAGTTGATTCCTGATGTGGGGTAAAGAGAGAAAATCTCCAGCTGACAGCATCCGATGCCATTCTCGACACTCATCTATGTTCCCCAAGAACTCCTGAACTACTTCATCTGCCCAAGATTTAAAAATTTCTCTGACTTCTTTTTCAATGTTAAATTCAATCTTGAAGCCATTACTTCGCTTCAGCTTCTTGTAAACATGACAAAATATCTTCAGCCCCAATTTCTTTCTGTTCCTTTCTCTTGCATTTTTCAATTCAAGAGCTCTAACTTCCTTTTGCCTAAGGTACTTCTTCCTTGCACGGATTGCTTTCTCTGACATAGGAGGGTGTAAAACAGAAGGTGGAACTGCCTGTAATTCCATTCCAAGAAAATTAATCTTCTCTGACACTGCACTATGAATAGCTGTATTCAATTTATTAACCTGTAACCCCAAATTAAGTTCCAAATGTTTCATAACTTGTTTCATTAAGTCCATTGTAAACATCTTAGATCCAGATGTTATAATAAGTATCTCATCCAAGTACCTCACTGCATATATCTTCACTGGCTTGTAGAATACATCAGATGTAGAGACAGTTGGCTTGGGATCTAATTTAGGATTCTCTTGAATTTTCGTAAGTCGTAGGCGTTGAATTTCTTTATCAAAGCCATCAAAGTATATATTTATCAAAATAGGACACAAAGTGCATTCCTGAGGAAACCCCCTTCCTAGATAAGCCCCACCCAGTTCAATTTCCAGAACTTGACATTCAAACAACCTCTTTATCAAGTCAATCAGAATACTATCTTGTACCTTATGTTCAATAAACAAGCATAACTTATCTACATGGCTTTGACCAAAATTCTGACGACTAAAGCTAAAAGTAAACCACCAGGTAGAATTATGCACCGAGTTTTTCAGGTACCTTATGGCCGTGTGCCGTCCCATTCCGACACGGCCGCCGTAGGCGAAGGTCACGAACCGTTCATCATACACCACTTCCAACACCATCCTAATGGCCTCAATTAACACCTTCAATTTCAAATTGGGCAAAACCAAGGCTTCCCGTTCTTCCTCGGAGGCAGCAATGTAACACAGCAAGCTCCGACATCGAACCTATTCTCGCGAAGCTCTCGAGCCATCTCTTCGATGGAGAATCGCCTTGAGACAGATTCAATAGAGGAAGGTGAAGAAGGCGCATCGTGGGCACAGTCGGCAGGTGGGGTAGTGAGGTTGTGACAGGCAGTGAGGAGGACGGTGGGCAAAGAGACGACATTGGTAACGAGATTGAAAAACTTACCGTGAGTGTAGTTGTTGAGAACTAGGGTCTTGATCTGTGATTGGGTTAGAGGTTGTTCAGGCACATGCTTGTTGGCTTCTTGATGAACAGGAAGTTCAAATGCGTGAGTAGAGTGAAATCTCAGGGCAGAAAAAGACGACCTGGTTTTCTGTATTCGTCTGATGCTCCGCAGTGTGAGCATGGAAGGAAATAGGGGAGAGCCTGGGGATGAAGTGCCTGCTTGGGAAGGCGGATAATCATTATGGAGCAAAAACCATGGTCTTGGCATTTTCAGTAGATAAAATGGTGGGCACAAAGCCAGTAACCATGGTTTCAATCAGAAGGGTTTTTCGGCCGAAAAAAGAAATGAGAAGCATGTTTTGGGTGGGGAAAAAAAAAGTGGAGGGGAGGGCACATCAGAAGCTGTTAATTACTTCAATAAAATGAAAAGAAATAAAATGGGCTGTGGAGTCTACATATGCTTTAGCAAAAAAAAAATATACTATGATTCAATTCAGTTTTTTGTTTTTCACCTTGCCCCAAGTTTTGATTCTACTTATACTTTTAATTTAGTCAGAATGATAATTTATTCACAATCACACCTCTCTGGACAGTTGAGATCTCAATACTCTTTCCAAGGCATGAGCAATTCACATCATGTAGCTTGGATGGAGAATGGCCTGTTTAATAAGATTAACCGGCTTCTATTTTTTTTTTAATATATTATAGAATGAATAAAAATGAGATGAATAGAGCAGAAAAATTCATTCAAGAATGGAGGACCAACAAAAAGATACAAGTTGAAGATGAGATTAACTAAATGCTAAAATACAAGACTTAGCTATCTCGTGGTGGGCATAGCGGCCGCACATAGTACAACAATCACAGGAAACTGTTTTTTTTTTTTTAAAATGGCTTTATTATAATTGAAAAGGCAGGAAACTTCGCGGAAAGAGCGACGCGGACAAGTTGGACAGGTGAGTAACGCAGGTATTTACCAAACCCAACCTCAACCGGCACGTCATAGTCATCAGCCGGTGAATCAGTTTTTTAAACAGTCGGGTCAAGATGTTTAAACGATTTTAATATGCCAGATTTGATTTTTTTTCCCATTTCACTAAATTTGAAACGACTTAAAACAAATACAAACAACAGTCCATTAAAGTGATTATATTTTTTTTTTCTGAGTGAGAAAAGTGATTATATTTTGTCAGATCATGTGTAATTTATACATAAATATTTTATTTTTTCCGTTAGACAACATATTTAAATTATTGTGTTTTGGTATTTTTTTCTAAGTATAGATATCTTCCTATTTATTGAAGGTAATATGATTTGAAGCACTATCAATATTATATGTATCAAAATAAAATTAGTTTCTTCTATTAAATCTAACTTTTGTTGGTTGGTGTTCTTCTTCTTCTTCTTTCCTTTAAACAAGTCGGTAATGACTAGTTTTTTTTTTTGCCCTTTTATTGTTAGTCGGCTGCCCTTGGCAATTGGCATGTTCTTCAACACAGTTCACCGAAAAAAAACAAAAGTTGCGAATATCCTAATTGTGGTTCTCAACGGCCCACGCTGCGTTCTTGCTCCTCTACCTCACCCCACGGGGTCACGCCTAACAAACGCTACCCCCATTTTCCAACGTTTCCCCTCCTGTTCACATTTTATTTCTTGATGAATAAATAACCATACAAGCCTTATATTTAATTTTTATGGTTGCATATAAGATTTTTAAATGCTTTAATTATATTAATAACTTGGTCGATTGATGTAGTTGTTATTATTTGAATTGAGGCATATTTTTTATTGTCCGTTTTATTAGTTGAGCGCATGCAGGTGAAAGTGGTTAAACTTTTCCTGATTTATTCTCTCTTCTTTTCCCCAGTAAGCTGAGATTTAAAAAAAAAAAATAACA